CCTATTTTATAATTATATGGTGAGTGTTTGATCAAACATATATATATACAGTGTTGGGAGTAACGCGTTACAAAAGTAATACATTACAGTAACATATTACTTTTTGCTGTAACGCAGTAGTGTAAGGCATTACAAATCAATTTTCAGTAATATTTTATTCGTTACATGTTCAGTAAGGCTTGCGTAACAACAGACTTTTAGTTTTAATTGTAAACAAACAAAAAAACATAACGAGACATAACGAATGAAAAATGCAAGTACCTGTTTGTGGTCAGTCAATAGCTAGCCTCGTGAGACCATCCTGATCTCGCGAGCTTTCAAGGTTTCACTCGCAGATCAGTCTGGATACTTTCCGTTAAAGAAAATTTGGGAGCAGTTCACCAAACGAACGTCCAATCAGCGTTGGCTTTGAGGCGGGTTGAGGTGTGACGCAACGAGAAGCGCGACAGTTCAGTCTAAAGAACATGTCGGCTTCAGCGGATGAAACTAGCATCAGCGTGGCTATCGAGCAAGTTTTATCGGAATTACAGAGTATTTCTTCACTGAAAGAAGAGCAAAACACTGCTCTGGAGGCTTTTCTCAGAGGAAAAGATATGCTCTGTTAGTACGTCATATGCTTCGTTGATCTGATTGGTTGATTTGGCCCGTCTATCACCAACATAGGCCAATCAGCTAACCAGTATTTTCGCCCCTTACCAAAACTACTTCAACGGAAGGTTTCCAGATGGATATGCGGAGCAAATCCATCTGGCGGAGTCAGGTTAGTCAATAGCCGCGTGTGGTGTCCAAATTTGTAAATATTAAGACTAAATGGCAGCGTCTGATATATTTGTATAGCGATTTATTTTTTACAGGAGTGCCGTGAAGCATGATTTCGGCCTCTGTGCTCGCGCTGGCCAGTGGAAAAGCGGCTAATGGGTGAAGATGGCATGAAGAAGACTATACATTCGCGAGATGGACGTATGCGCATTAGGCTATTCGTTCTGTGTTTTCTTTCTAAACAGTTAGGCTATGTTTAGGTGGTATTTTTCATGTTTTCATCACGCAATCATGTTTTTGATGCGGTGGTGACGCGTTCATGTAACATGTAAGGTTGGCGGCGGCGCTGCCGATAAAGCACCCAAAAGCTGTCACAAAGAACCTGCAAAAGCAATGATTATGAATATGTCAAATATAGCAAGGAGACATTTTAATTGTTTATTAATAAAGATGAAGTTGACGATGCTGACTCGCAATCTTCGCAGTAGGCTAGTGAGTGCGTCAGAGAGAAATGCACATTTCATTTCATAAGCAGAGGGCAGTCTATTTTCTTTCGTTTTGAATTGTTCTGTTTACAAGTAGACATTTCAATATAGATATGGTCTGTGGAGTAGGCTATACTTATACGCTGAGTTTCGGTAGGCTATATTTATGAGACGCGCTCCAGTTCACACGCCGGCGCCTCTGTGTCGTGATTAGTGACTATCTATAATTGTCTGCTTTTACTACTTATGTATTAAATCCAGGCAATTGGTTGATGAAACATTATTTAAAATTAAGATAAAATTAATACAAAACGAAATTCACTTTAAAGAAAGGCTTTGTCTTCTGTTTGAGGTCTCTGTGAAAGTTTTAAAGCAGTCTTTTAGTGCCGCTTCAGAGCGGTCGCGTCCGTAATGGAGAACTGACACGTCTGTAACATTGTTTTTTCCTCATAAATGCGAAAACGAAAAATAAAATAAAATAAATATTTAATGTTCTGTGGAGAGCCAACCATTCCACATCCGATTCGCTGAAACATTTTGCAAAAACATTTGCTGTAAAATTATAAAAATAACATTACTTTAGTTTGTATGTAATTTAAATGAAAGTACAAAACTAGTGTGACTTTAATAGTGTCAGGAGACATTTTTATCTTTAAAATAATAATTTAATTCATTTAATTTCATTTAATTGATCCATTATAAGCCCTAAAAAAAGTCGCGGTGGTGATGAAATGGATGAGCAGGAAATAGACAAACTATCTATTTTCTGATATCTTCATGTTTTCTTGTAAATGGTCTGAAGAGCGAATTTTATCCTCCACAAGGGCAAGATATTTAGGCTATGTTTGATTTTGCGCCGCCAGAGAAAGCAATACTAAAATCACGCGCGTGTGTGAAACGTGCTTTACAAATAAACTTGTTACTGAAGGCCCTGACTGAAACCCCACGGTGCGCCACTGACTTGTAAGATTTTGTTTTGCATTGCCTGCCTCTCTCTGCCGAGTTCGAAGTCTCAAAATGAATCCATTCTGCAACTTTTAAATACATAATTATATTTTTAAAAACGAAATTATAAGCTTAAGTGCAGGATCCGAAAGTTGGTCATTTTGTCGCTATGGTTACACACTCTCTTAGCTGTCCATCGTGTACGATGATGACGCTTGCTCCAGGGGGTGTGGGTGGGGGTGGGAGGGGGGTGGGTTTAGCGACCTTGCCGCTGGTGCCACTTCTCGTGGGCGTTGAGTCCGATCCTTGAGCCGCACACTCGTCCGCAGATGGAGCAGGGGAAACCAGATACCAGGGGGGTACCAGCTGCCCACTGGTGTCTCTTGATGCGCCTCTCGGATCGTCGGTCTTCGTTGGTTTGGTGTATTTGAGAGATTGCTGTTGCACAGGTGACATGCCAGGCAGGTCTGTCGAGTGCCAGTGATTCAAGCTGCGTGAGGGGAATGTTCGCTCTCTTTAGGATGTCCCTGGTGTAGTCCTTAAAGCGCACTTTTGCCCTCCAGCGGACCGCTTGGCGCCCATTAGTTGACTGTAGAGGACTTGGCGGGGCAATCGGTGCTCAGGCATGCGTATGGTGTGCCCTATCCAGCGCAGATGTTTTTTGGCAACAGCTGCTTCCATACAGATTGAGTAAGTGTTGCTGAGGATGACTGTATGGGGGATTCGGTCTTCCCAGGACAACCTGAGGATCTTCTGTAGGCAGCGAATGTGGAAGGCCTCTAGGTTGATGATGTGCTGGCGGTATGGGGTCCATGACTCTGCCCCGTAGAGCAGAGTAGAGACACATACCGTATTGTAAACAGCGACTTTGGTACTGACCTTCAGGTTACGGTTTTCAAAAACCCTGCTGCGTAGGCGTCCAAAAGATGATGAGGCTTTATTTATCCGGGTGTGCATTTCTTTGTCCAGGGAGCAGAATGAGGACAAAGTGGAGCCGAGGTAGGTAAAGTGGTCCACTGTTTTAAGTGGAACACCATTTATGTGAAAACTGGGGGGTGTGGGGGGTCGGGGGTAGTGAGATGGGACATGACCTCGGTTTTTTTAATGTTGACCTGTAGGCCAAAGGATTGGTACAGACGGGATATTGTGTTAAGGGCGTGCTGCATAGAGTCTGTTACACACACACACACACACACACACACACACACTGTTGGCGGTGCGCTCATAGTCATCTGTCAGTTGTGCAGTTACCCAAAATCTCCTGAATGAAGTTAAAACCCATCATGTAACTGATATGTGTTTAACAAAATATTAATACATCAAAAACTGTACATGATATGCGTTTTTTAAATCAAGTGATCAAAGTGCTCGTTGCCGCTGCGATCAGTGGCGCGGATACTGTGTTTTCTCGTGTGGCTCGCGCACACCGCGCTGTCTTCACTCAGACGCGCGCTTCAATCCGAATATGCTTTATCATCTGACAGAAGTTCTCTGGTTGCATTATTAATGTCTTGGAATGAAATAAAGGACAGTGCAAACTCATCATTTATGCATTACACAGTGTCAACATTACCAGAGTCTTCAAGTAAAGATTCAATTTCTCTCATTAATTGGCCTTATTAAATGTCCCAGTTTGGCTCTTCTAGTTCCCATTAACTGGTTAAGGCGTTCCTCTTGTGATTTAATAGCTGTCTTCGGCACTCTTTTAGAGGTCGCATTCAATTCCTTTGTTTACATATAATCGATGTTCGTGTTGAAAGCGCACATTGCGTTCCTCACGAAAGCAGGTGAGATCGCCCACTTGCGATGCAGTGTGGAGGTGCAAACATGGCAGGTCCATGACGCAGCAAAGTTCAATAATATCCAAAGTCCAATAATATCCCCAAAACGTCCAAAAAGACTGTGAAAGTTCACCAAAGTCCAATATTTAAATATGTAGAGCGTGTAATTCAAATGCCATCGGAGAATCTCAGCCGCGATAGTTTATTATTGTCCAAATTATGCTCTCTGATGATGCGTGAATCACTCACTTTTGTTAAAAACAAAATATTGCTCATCTTTGAAGAAAAAAAGAGAAGTTTTCTTATTTTATGTAGATGCAAACTCCTAGGTTAACTTCACTCCTATTATAGTGGCAGGAACAAATTAATTCTTACTCGTCACAGAAGTCATTCAGAAATCCCTAAACAAATGCGAGTTTAATCAAACACAAAAATATACAAAATTCGTGTTGGATCCTGTATCCTATGATATTAAACCATTAGCTTGTGTTACCTGAATCGTTTAAACGTACGTATTATCCATAAATGAGAGACAAGACAGTAAGAAACCGGTTTCTCCCTTATTTCCTTTGCACAAACCAGTTCAAGTTCAATCTTCCGTCACAAGTGTGTGTAACCAATAAAGATATCGAACAGAAATTATGCATAAAAAAACATAGGAAATGATAATGAGATATATAAACACAGGACATATCAGAATTGCCTCTCAAAGAAAGTAAAAAAATATATACTTTCAGTTATTACCTGTTAAATCCACTCTAAGCAAACAATAATAATATACACATTATTGACATAAAATTTGCTCTTCATTCACATTTATCCTCCTTGAACTCATTCTAACAACTTAATGTTTTAATATGTTTATTTCAGACCCGATGGAGGTGAAAGAGCAAAGACGAGAACTGAAGTTAAAGATGATGCTGTAGTTTGTTTCAGCCTGTTGACACCAATAAAAGAATTTAATGTGCCAATTTACAGAATATCTCAGACATCACCATAATGAATGAGCTGAAAACGGGGAACTTTTGGAGACAAAGAGGTTTTTCAGCTGCTCAGTTAAACATGATGGCCCTGTACTTTTTAAATGCAGATTGGATAAAAACACAGTGATCACAGTTCACACCTGCAGTGAAGCCCCTCCCACAACAATTCACCAATAAATACTGGGAATATTCCCATCATCCTACAAGAGAAGGACAAACTCCAGGAGTAGCAGCTGAAATCTGTGTGACTGTTAAAGATGGAGTTTATTAAAGAGGAGATTGAAGACATGAGTGATCCAGAACCATCCAGAATAAAACATGAAGATACTGAGGAACAAACAGGTTGGTGTCCATTCTTGATTCTTCATTGTTGATGCTTTGGTAGATGTGAATTAGTAAGCAAGTATATGGATGATAAATGATAGAGAAATACATCTAAATGATCATAACCTTGTATATAGCAGTTGTCAAACATATTTTTTACTCTATAACCAAGTGAATGACAGAACAAAAAGTGAAAGATCTGATCTCTGTTGCTCTCTGCTATTAAATAAGGGTTCGCTTGAACTGATTCTAACTGTATTTCTGTGTATTTTAGACCAGGTGAGAGTGAAAGAGCAAAGACAAGAACTGAATGAAGTGGAGGAGGAACATCGTAACTTTACAATTCAAAGAACAAAAGCCAAAAAGACGCACACCTGCACTCAGTGTGGAAAGACTTTCTCACAGAAAGGAAACCTTAACAGACACATGAGAATTCACACTGGAGAGAAACCGTATACATGCACTCAGTGTGAGAAGAGGTTTTCTTGTTCATCAGGTCTCAGTGATCATCTGCTCATTCACTCTGGAGAAAAGCCATTTAACTGTGATCAGTGTGGTAAAGAGTTTATTTCATCAGCACATCTAAAATCACACCTGAAAGTTCATTCAGATGAGAAGCCTTATGTGTGTTCTCTCTGTGGAAAGAGTTTTTCATGGCTGAACAGTTTTAAACTGCACCAGAAAACACATGATGGAGTGAGAGATCATGTGTGTTGTGACTGTGGGAAGAGATTTACTACATCTGGTGATCTGAAACTGCACCAAAGAATTCATACTGGAGAAAAACCTTACAAGTGCTCATATTGTGACAAGAGTTTCACTCATTCTGGAAACCAGAAATCACACGAGCGAGTTCATACTGGAGAGAAGCCGTACGACTGTACTCAGTGTGAGAAGAGTTTTAGAAATTCAAGTAGTCTAGTGACTCATATTAGAAAGCATTGTTCTGTGTCACAGTGAGCAAATGATTTGAAAATGACCAGAAAATACACAATGAAGTGAGAGATCATGTGTGCTTTTAGCCTGGGAAAACCCAGACAACCTCCGGCAAATTTAGATTTGCTCTGAAAGTTAGTCTGGCAAAGAGCTCATTCAAGCCCATTTCCAATCCGTCGAAATCGCGGCACCAATCAGAAACATTTGGGCGGGCTTTACACGATAACGACGGCGCTGGGATTTTGAAGCAGATTTTGTAGCCTACATTACAAAGATGGATGCCGCCGTCGAACATCACTCGTTCGAATCAGCTATCGCGTCTGTTTTAAGCGATTTGAACGTTTCCTTTTTGTTAAAAACCGAGCAAAGAACAACACTCGGAGATGTTTCTCCGCCGCTCTGCATACGTCATCTCCTTCATCGCTCTGATTGGGTTTAGGTCTATCCACGACGTCCGTTGGTGACGCCCCTCTGCAAATGATTTGTCTATGACGCTTTGCCAGACCATAACTCAGTTACAACTGAGAATGGTCTGGTTTTAACCAGGCTAGTGTGCTTTGACTGTGGGAAGAGCTTTACTACATCTGATCATCTGAAACAGCACCAAAGAATTCATAGTGGAGAAAAACTGAAATTCATACTGGAGTTTCACTCAGTCTGGATCCCTGAAATCACACGAGCGAGTTCATACTGGAGAGAAGCCGTACTACTGTACTCAGTGTGAGAAGAGTTTCACCCAATCAAGTAATCTAGTGGCTCATATTAGAAAGCATTGTTCTGTGACACAGTGAGCAAATGTTTTGTTAGATTCACATAAAGTAAATGTGTTGTTAGTTAACTAATAAACTAGTGTTGTGAAATGCCACAAGATTTGTGTTTTATAAGTTGGAGAACAAGAATATCAATGATGTAGCACCCTGCTAATTTTATATATTGTTTATTTTGTGTTCTGCTAACAGAAATATACACTCATAAAAAAAAAAAAAAACATTGGGTCAACAAAAAAAAATATGTTAACGTTTTCCACTAGAATTTTTACGTTAAGACTGCTGGCAGAATTACATTAATTCAAAGCGATGTTTTAGGCCACAATAAAACGAATTTCTAAGTAACATGAATGCTAGTATTTAGGTTGATCCAACATAGTGTTTTGAGTAAGGTGAAGAATCTTTTAGGCCACAATAAAACAAGTTTCTAAGTAACATGAACTTAATAATTTTCAACATGAATGCAAGTATTTAAAGGGATACTCCACTTTTTTTGGAAATAGGCTCATTTTACAACTCCCCCAGAGTTAAACTGTTGAGTTTTACCGTTTTTGAATCCATTCAGCCGATCTCCGGTTCTGGCGGTACCACTTTTAGCATAGCTTAGCATACATCATTGAAGTGGACAAGACCATTAGCATTTCTCATTAAAAAATGACCAAAGTGTTTCGATATTTTTCCTATTTAAAACTTGACTCTTCTGTAGTTATATCGTGCACTAAGACCGACGGAAAATGTAAATTTGCGATTTTCTAGGCTGATATGGCTAGGAACTATACTCTCATTCCTGCGTAATAATCAAGAAACTTTACTGCCGTACCATGAGAGCAGCAGGCGTAATGATATGACGCAGCGCCTGAAAATAGTCCCCAGCTCGGTAACTTCCAACGTGACCGGGACTAAGTGCCTGCGCCTGCTGCACTCATGGTACGGCAGTAAAGTTTCTTGATTACTACGCAGGAATGAGAGTATAGTTCCTAGCCATATCAGCCTAGAAAATCGCAAATTTACATTTTCCGTCGGTCTTAGTGCACGATATAACTACAGAAGAGTCAAGTTTTAAATAGGAAAAATATCGAAACACTTTGGTCATTTTTTAATGAGAAATGCTAATGGTCTTGTCCACTTCAATGATGTATGCTAAGCTATGCTAAAAGTGGTACCGCCAGAACCGGAGATCGGCTGAATGGATTCAAAAACGGTAAAACTCAACAGTTTAACTCTGGGGGAGTTGTAAAATGAGCCTATTTCCAAAAAAAGTGGAGTATCCCTTTAAGTTGATCCAACATAATGATTTAAGTAAGGCGGAGAACTTGAATCCATGTTTTGAACTAATTATTTATCACATTAACTGTCTTAACATGAATATTAACGTATTAACCCTTATAAATGAAATATGGTTCTTCAAAATAAATTCTCAACAGATAATGAGAGCAGGCTGTCAGAGTGTTTCTGTTGAAAACAAGCACTGAGACCCGGGGAGAGAGCAGCTGCTCGCTAACAGCAGAGAACAGATAGACGCTGGTCATTTTTATGTAATTTGTGTAACGTTACATTTTATTCATAAACATTAAAAACACACTCTTTTGTGTTAAAATACGAGCAAAAGGTGCGGTGTCGTAGACATGTAAATAATATCTCATGTCGTTATGATTTGTGAATTCGTGTAACGGGTTACTCCGGTCCGAAATAAGTCTTTTTTCTCCTGAATTTTAATTTTAAATTTGGCATAGCTCCAAAAGTCGGTCACTTAGAAGTCTGAACCCAGTGTCATCTTGACATGCTAGATTTGTGAATTTTTTCACAGCAAAGCTCGTCTGTAAACCGGTCGCTAAGTCTGTTTTTCATGTTTTACAATGTATAATAACAATTTATAATAAACACACACACCAACGGTGTGTTGGATTACAAAAACACTAGATTGAGTTTGATTTGTGAAAACTTTCGCAGTTTAGTTTGGGTCAGTTAACCCTTCCCTGAATGTTTAACTTAAAGGACAAGTTCGGTATTTTACACTTAAAGCCCTGTTTTAAGATCGTTTCTGATGAAATGGAACGGTTAAGATAGAAATTTGGACACATGCTGCTGGCCCGAGAAATTTCGGTTTCTGTGGTTGCACCCCCCCACCTCTACAATGGTTGCATAGGTGCACTGGAACAATCCTTCATAAAACGCATTAAACTTTAGTTTACAAAGACGTGAAACTCACCGAGTGGTCAGGGGTGTTCACTGATATCCGTATTGAGTCTAATTTACCTTGTTGCAATAATCAGATTGTCAGCAGTTCGGCCATTTGATTAATCAACTAATTAGTGGACACCCCTCCATTCTTCAGATTGTGACAAAAACAGATGTCATGGGACTTTTAAGTCACCGATTCACACACAAAGCTTCTCGCTCTTCATGAACTGCACACGAGGCAAATGGTGCTTGGACTTAATTAAATTACCAATCCCAGTGCCCCCGCAGCGTTTTTCATTGATAAGTACTCACTGGACCCTCTGTGTTACCACATGTGACTCAACAGGGGCGCATCTCTCTGGCCGGAGATCCCGTGGTGCCCCCTCCGCATGACACCTCACACACACAGACAACCTTGTGTAATTAGACCACTGGCCATTGTAATCCAGAATTAAACTCATCAAATTCAAAGGACGCACACACATACACAGAACTGAAGATGGTCACAAGTTCACTCCGCCGCCACCGTTCAATGAACTCTCAATACACATACACACACAAAGAGACAATCATGCCGGACTGAATGTAACGTTTTAAATGTATAAATGTTTTCTGGTTGTGTTTCATGATTCCCTTGTGACCAAATCTGTATAACTGTAAGTTTATGATATGTAGTCAATTTTATATACGTCTAATCACGGAGAATCATGTATCTTAATCTCACTAACGGACAATCATACCATATTTGATATCGTTGTGATCAGAAAATTGCATTGATATCGAATTCCTGACCCAAAGTGCAACACGAGGCATACCTGATTAATCCTAGTTTAGAAGTGTATTGTTACTAAATTTTTATCTGCTATGCACATGTAGCGCTTTTAACCCTTTCCTATATAGATAGATAATGGAGCGCTCTGAGTTCGTATGGATAAACTTTGTTTTATCCAATTTTGTGAGCTAAGTGTGCCTATTTACTCACTTCAACTTATTCTGTGTAACTGTGTTTGTTACTTAATTCCTTGGGTCCCTTAACTTCCCAGAAATCACATGATATTGAATTAGGATTTTAGGATTTATCTTCGGTTAATAAATTGTTTTACCAAAAAGGTCCCAAAACTCCCAATATATATTTATATCCCCCTTTTAACTCAAATTAATAAACTGAAAACACTCAAGTATACGGTAAATTAACAATTTACTGGATAAAATATAAAAGGGTCAAGTTTTAGGATTTTTTCCAAACTGTAACATAAAATAACAATTATGGAATGTCAGCCAATTCACACAGATGAATAAAAAAATAATAATAATCAAATACACATTTCACATATTCACTTTTTTGTAAATAATTATTTGTTACCCTCTTTTTTTTAAATTTGAGTCCCCAAACTCTCTCAAACTCAAAAGACTCTTCAACCAAATACTAAGCCGGCAATATATAAGCTCACACTTAACCTTATTCAATCTGTAAGTCTTTCATTTTCCCGTTGCAGGCCTGTTTGATGCTGGGGTACGTTGTGGTAAAAAAATAAATCAAAGACCGCTTCACTCCACACGGAGCAAACAAATAAAAATACCTTGAAATATCCAATCAGAAGAGCGTGTTTCACCTCCCGACGTTAGATGTCCGTCAAACCCACGATCGCGGCGATTTCCTTAAGGCCAAAGGAATTCCGAGCACTCACGTTAACTCACAAGTCATCTGGAATCATCCTCATCTGAAACTGCCACGAATCCTCACGCTGACGACTCGCCAACTAAACACACAATCCATCCGAGCAAGATAGACACTGTTCAGTCTCTCTAAATAGTCCATTCGCTGTATTAGTAAATGGAGGCTGGAATAAACACAACCAGAAATATTTTGTGGAGAAATATTTCTTACCCGTCTCTGTAGTATAAGTTTCTGTTCTCGTTTTGACAACACACTAACTACATTAACTATTGAAACACATTATAGCATTAGTTATACTATATTTTTTTGTGAAACAATATCACACCAGATGATCGCACGCTCTTCTCCCTCGTGCTCTCCCGATTCTTCCTCGTCCAACTTTGCCCTAAATTCATCCC